GTTATGTCTAATATTAATGCAAATGACCCTATTTTTTCACTATAGTTACAAAATTTATGAATTAAATACCTTGTTTTTAATTTTACAAAGAAACATCCCAATTTACGCCATCATTGTTTTACAAATTATTTTCTTGTAACAATATGAATTTTATCAAGTTAAATTTATTATTAATTAATAACGGAAATTAGAATAAATTAAAACATATTAAGTAGTGCAGTCTTATGTCTGTTTGGGAATTTTCGTCAGAGGAAATACTAGCATAACATAACTGGTTGATGACTGTACACCTCAGTCAACGGTGGGAAATCATGGGACCTGTAAAGGACCCGAAACGTTGGTTTGTTTGAAAAAATAAATAAATACACGCGATTTAAATCCGGAAACATGTTTCATTTCTTACGATAAACATTTCACAAGAGATTTTTGGCAAGAAATCACAAAAAAATAACTTTAAAATATTTTTTATAAAACAAGAATTATTTCCACTATTATTTTACCTTTTCAATTTTGAACTTTAAACTCGCTGAGCAAAACGTCTGGAGGCTGCGGAGGCTACATTACAATCTACAGGACATGCTTAGGCGGTGCCAGCAATGCATGACACCCTTTCAAGTATATGTAATGTATATATAGTATGATGTGATCAAACCAAAAACAAAATTGTATTCTAGACAGACCACGGAATAGAATACAAACACACTACATAGATTTTTGAAGTGATTTGGGTTTGGCATCATAAAAATAGATTTTTTTTTTTCGAAAAAACCAATACTGTATCTCGTTAATCCCGGGAATTATAAACTCAACTATGATTACACGACGGAACCTATGGGAATATTTTTACACATGCAGAAAAATCAACAGTGATTGACGCTACAAGGCCGAAATCGACGCCCGAGCGTCTTAATAAAAACTAGATTTTAAAAAACTGTTTGTTGTATGTCGACTAATTTGACAGCTAACTAATTAACTGCCTCGGTGGCCGAACGGTTACCTTGCTGGACTGCCACGCACAGGTCCCGGGTTCGATTCTCGAGCCGGGAGAAATATTTGTATTGCCTACATTCATTCTCTCTCTTTAGTTTGAGTGTAATTTATGGTTTGTTTATGTGTGTCCATAGCACCCGCGATACAGGGTTTCCCTAGTGCGGGGCTGTGAGTGTGTGCTTTAAAGAAATCTAAATATATATTAATATTTTCAGGTAATAGACAACATTTCGAACTAATAATTACTCTTAGACTGCGTTCTGGTCACATTCCATTAAACAAATGTTACTATCTCATGAGAAGGGCAGAATCCCCTCAATGCCAATTCTGTAACAAGTTTGGAAGACATGCTTCATTTAATGGAATGTGATCTATATGCGGACCGTCGGGCCCAATATCATTTAAAAGACATTGGTCAGGTTGGAGAGCTAAATATAATGCTGAGCAACCCGTTGACGAAGAGTGCTGAAGCTCTATACTTCTATTGAGGTCTTGCTTTCTGATGAGGAGCAATACCTCGCATGGGAGTAGTGACAGATAAAGTAGGATAGTTATTTATATGTATACATACATTACGAGGCCGACATAAACGCCCGAACGTTTCAGGCCTCTTAAAACTAGATAAAAAAGATTGTACTAAATATATAATATTATAAAGATGTTTAATAACACGTATCACAACTTTCCTACGATAAATAACCTAGAATTCTGTCTTTAAAAAGATGACAGCTAATAACATGCAACCAAATTAAATAGCACAGCAGTAATACGACGTATGAAACTCGCTACTAAAAAATATTGTAGTTAGCAAAGATCTGAGAAGCACTGCCACTGTGCCCGACACACTTGCACCTAAGTTGACATGTCCAGCACCCTTTTAGCAGCAGTAGAGCTCCATGTGAAAGAGTTTGTCCAAGGAAGTACTGCCACCTCACTTATTTCAGTAATATCAGCATTACTGCGTTCCTAATTGCAGGCTGCATAATCACAGGCACACAGGACTTGTCAACTTGTGTCCCAGGGCGACGGGCGCAGTGGCAGTGCCCCTCAGAGCTTTGCGATTTAAAGCTCTGCAACTGTTATAGACATACGTGTAGCTTGTAGCTTGATATTATAAAAAAAAACCCTTATCCTTCAAAACCGGAACGCAGTAAAGTCACATTACTGTTTGACGGCAGAAATCGGTAATGTGGCAGTACTTCCCTGCACGTACTCTTTCAAAAGAAGCTCTACTGCTGCTAGAACTGCACTTATCTTACTGTTAGTGGAAGGGACAGACACACATGATTCATATTAAGATTAGTTTGCGTTTATATTAAAACCATATTAAAACATTAAACTCGATCGAATCGTCACACAACAGTGGGTTCATTGTTGTTTTATGTAAAGAGCGGCCTATTGTGTGAATTCGTGCATTTACAAAGGTGTATTGTCTTCGAGTAAATAACATATTACGTGTATGCATATATGTATTATTTTGTGTACGTAATAGTAAGTTTGTGAACTATTGATCTAAGGTATTTATTTCGATAACTATTTTATTTATTTATTTATTTATTTCTATATTGCACATTACGTTAAAAAGGTTTTATAATAAAATTTAGTATGGTACATTACCCAGTCAGGGGTTTTTTAAATATAAATTTAAGTGCACATTTGACCGCCATATCACCTTAAGAGACTTAAAAGAAATCGATGTCATCTTACCATGAGTTGTGAGTTATTTTTCAGTTACTTATTTTTTAACCGACTTTAAGGAGGAGGAGGTTCTGAATTCGGCTGTATTTTTTATGTTTGTTACGGAATAACTCCGGCCGGAGGCCAAATGATTCTTTTTTGTTGGAAAAAGGGTACCTCATTACCACTACTGAGGTACCACCATCCCATACATCCCATTTAAATTTGAAGAAAATATTCCACCTCTAAGGGTGGCAAACTAATCCGATTTCGCACATTTTCCGGTAGCCGATTTCAATAAAACTTGGTAAATAGACTAGAATAGACTAGAATTCAACGAACTTTTTGAGGTCGGTTTTTTTAGTACTCTGTACTGAGATTATATAGTATCCGTTAAAAATTCATTTTAATCCGTATTATTTTATATCCGTATTATTTTAGTCCGACTTTATTCATCATACACGTTTTTTTCCACACTAGGGTGAAAAAGGTTTTTGAAATTCCAACTTGACGGTGGACTGTGGTGCACCTAACTTTTTCTTTCGATGAAAAAAAACATAATGACACGTTCAACTACGCGATTTGTCGTACATTATTTATGTAATATAAATCCGTTGGTATATTTTATTCTTATTATTGTTGACATTAAACTGACAACTATAACTAATTTTGTTTATCAAAAGTGATTTGTTATAGTTCAACTGTTTTTCTTTCATCTACCATCTTCGCTATAGTGAGGTGAAAAGTTGTATGCTTCGCTCGGCAGCAAAGATGTTTTGTGTCTTGTGCTTTGAAACCCTCGGTCAGGATTCTATTTTTAAACGTCGGCTTTTTTGATCAATGATGCATTTAACTATAGACACAATAATTTGGCACTTTTAAACGCCATGTGGAAGTATTACGAGAGACGGGTGACCCGCTAAAATATCGAATATATGATCCAATCATTTGACCCGGTCACACTACGCATGGGTCATAAAAATGATCGACCGACACAGGTCTAGCAGCTACCTCAGGAGGCGACTCAGCTCGGTAGGCCTGTAGTAGGCCTTTTAAGGAGCCTCTCAGCGCGACCTACCATTCCTTTCCTGTACCTTGCGTCATTTACGTAGCATTCAATTTTGCAGTTTATAAACGTAAATTAGTCTGTGACTGAGAGTACTAAGGAATAATAATATAATACCTCCACATTATACTTAATAAAATGAACATAATATCCATTGTCGAAAGTAATTTTTTATCAAAAGTAAAAAGTATCTACTGTTACTTTCTTTGCTTTACTACGCTAGCTAAAGAAATTTGAACTATGTTCCATTGTCATTAAATAACAATCTCGTTCGTGAAAAATGTCACGCTCCACTTATCGAAACACTTTCAAATTGTACGTAGACTTTTTTAAAATGATTTTTTTATGAAGTATTAAAAAGGCTATTGCTTGTTGTCTAGATTTAGACTTTCTGACCGACTGGAATGAATTGGAAAGGTAATGATGGCACGTAGGTGTGACGGCCTCCTACGCCGCCGCGCGTGACGTCACCAGCGTGTCGCTCTTGACCGTTCTATTATCCGAGTCTTTATAACATTTACTGATTTTACTACATATTGTTCGAATGACGTGATTAAGTTCATGATGTCTAATCATCATCGTCAACCCATTTATACGTCACACTGCTGGACATAGGTCTCTTGCTACCGTTGGCCCAATGTGGGTTGGGGACTTGGGTTCGGCGTCTGCTTGACAGGCGGTAGGTTTACTTACAGTATCTACAAACGGAGACCGCGTGCCGCCGCGCAGCGACCGATAAATGAGCGTCCCGGGCACGCGGGCGAGTCTGGTTTGAATTTGGTCTACGCGATGGCCTGCGCGGCCACCGCGCGTTTTTATTATTCAGAGGAATTTAAATGTTGTTGCCTAGTAAATAGAATTCTGATTCGCCATTCATGTACATGAAGGCGTGGTAACTGAGCGGTGGCGCGAAGACTTTCTCCTCGTGTACTGGGCGCTAGTGGGAGATAGTTTTTTTTGTAAAATGTATATTTAAAAAAATAATTTAAAAAAAGTGGATTTAGTAAGTGTTGTAAGTGAAATGCTCTTCAAATTTCGAACTGGCCAATCATGGTTCTTTAATATCACGTGAAATGCAGTTGAAGATTCAAATTAGCCAATCACAAGCCTTTAATATCACGTGAAGTGCAGTAGAGAATTCCAAGGAACCAATCAGTTCCATTACAGTGATTTGATTATTACTTACTGGATTGTGAACGTGATTTGCGGATATTTTAATATAAACCATAATCTGTATAAAATTAACAATCAATTTTCTTTGTTGCAGCGCAAAAAAACTACACAAGAAGTTCTGGAACGTTTAGAAACTCAAATAAAAGGCATCGAAAGAGATGGGCAGTACAAAGAACAAGCCCATAAACGAGTCATAGGGTACATGATGGCGTATTCAGTGGGATTCTACGTGCTGTTTGCCGTATTGTATTACTATATGTATGCTGGAAAGAGCCAACATTGGGTCCATTCTTTGCTATATGCCTCGCCGCTGCTCGTTTTGCCAATTCTGTAAGAAATTTTTATTAACAAATACAAATGAATTTGCGAAGATCTTTAAAGACAGGTCACACACGCGTTACAGCGGGAAAACGGTCCAGGGCCGGACCAGTGGGAAGCTAATGCGTACCGGGGCGTACCGCACAACAGTCTCACGCGCACTTCGCAGCGGTAGAGCGGCACGAAGGCGGCCGGTGCGACACGAAAAAATTGACTATACCAAAATTAAATTTGTATTGAATTGACATTTAATTACTATTTGTGAAATTACTCCACTAGTTTGTTGTAATTATTAATATAAAAAAATTAAGAAAAAAAATAAAAGAAAAAATTCCTTCGATCCCATTGAGTTACAAATAAATAGACGACGGGTGTAATACAAAAACCACGAAAAAATGTCCCAAGTCAACCTATTTAAACGTAGTGACATGTAAAGGAATATGAAAAAGCTTAAACGTTGAATTTAAATTGTAATGTCATCGCAGTACTGTCTAATTTTGCTTGCTTCGCTGTCAGTCGAACAAACGAAGACTAAAGCGTGAATGACGCTCTGTATACGATTTTAACGCCCTATAAGTTCGGACACTTTTTAGCGCGGACCCGACGTCCATATAATTGTATGTCAATGTTCTATCCGGCCGGATTCGAACCGACATCTTCGTTCTTGGTTTTCAACGACTTTTGAGAAATCTATGAAAGTATTTTGTATTTTTTCTTTTTTTAATTAGGATTTTTGCTAAGTGTTCGATCTTTGCATTAGTAATTATACCAAAATTGTTTTCACAAAAAAAACTTATTAGTTCCTAAGACAGTTTTCTTGTATCTTCTATGGTTTCGGATTCCCTCCATCCAAAAAATGAGTATTTGACACAAAATTAAATAGAAAAAATCTTGCTTATTTGCCTCTACCTGTGACAGGAGGTGAATTAAATACTTTAAAGTTTGAATTGCAATTCACTTGTTTCTAGAAATAACGCGTGACACACTCCGGACACTCCATACAACGGTAGAAACTTATTAACCCTACTACGTAAAGTAAGGCGCTGTCTGCACTCGCGCAAATGTATGCGTAAAGTGGTAGGGTTACCCATCACTTTCTTGTTTCTTTATTATCTGGTTTAACTTGCACAGTGTCCTTGTAAGAGCAAACGAATGTATTGTATATGTCAATAATATGATCGTTACGTATACTAATTATTTTATTTATTAAATACTAAAGCGGCAGTAAATTACGCCACTTAAGTGAAATAAAGTCAAATAAGTAGCTTAAACAAATTAAACAAAAAATACTAAACATTATAAGTGAATAACACTGCTCTATACATTACTTACACTGAAATATTTTCTATTAAATGCGTTATTACTTAATAATCTGTTATGAAATGGCGTTATATATTGAAAATTCGAAACCTAAAGATCTTTTTAACGAAAGAATTTTCTCTCTCTAAATGGGGTATTAGATGAAATTATAAAAATTATATAGATAATCTGCCGTACATAGTACAATTCACGACCATCATGACGTACGTTCGTAATAAAATAAATTTACTCTGTTTAAACTTCAAAGTTGTCTCTCACTGTCAGCCTTGTTGCCGTTCCGTCAATGTAGTCGTCAATATGCGGTGCGCGATGTGGTATCTATAAAGCTAGTAGTAGTAGCTAGAGTGACTTTTCTCGTTACTTTTTTATTCTACGCGTCTGGTCAGGCTCCTTTTAAAATATTTTGTGTTTTCCAGTGTCATATTCCTACGTTCCGGTATATCATGGTACTACAACTGGTCGTTAAACAAGAACAGATTAAAGCTTAACAAACTGAAAGAAGAGAAAAAGAAAATACTTGAAGATGTTATGAATACCGAAACTTATAAGGTAACTATTGACATTTTCCATTCAATCAGTTATTCTTGCGCTTGGATATCGCAGGTATTTCGCGTATCTTGCAGTATGCGATCAATCTATGTCTCAGACGACTTAGGAGACGAGTTTGAACTGCCGCATACGTCTCGCATTTAATTAACAGTTGAGTACAAGTCAAAATGATATGCGATAGTATTGATTTGACTACTACATAAACCATTTCAAATAGCAATTAGATAATACGGAGATTGTATGATTAGCAAAATTGTTTCAAATCTCAAGTAGATAAGATAGAGATGAGATCTTTTTGATTTGACTACTAGATAAACCGTTTCAAAACGCAACTAGATGAGGTAGAAATCGTATTAATTTGCAAATATTTTCAAATCACTACTAGATGAAATGATCCAAACCGCAAATAGATAAGGTAGAGATGAGATCTTTTTGATTTCACTACTAGATAAACCGTTTCAAAACGCAACTAAATAAGGCGGAGATCGTGTCGATTTGCAAAATGGTTTCAAATCAGTACTAGATAAAGTGGTTCGAAACTACAAGTAGATTAGGTAGAGGTGAAATGGTATTTCTATCATATTATAGTATATCATATTTAACTACTAAATAAAGGATTTCAAAACGCGACTGGATAAGGTAGAAATCGTATTAGTTTGCAAATATTTTCAAATCACTACTAGATGAAATGATCCAAACCGCAAATAGATAAGGTATAGATGAGATATTTTTGATTTGACTGCTAAATAAACCATTGCAAAACGCAACTAAATAAGGTGGAGATCATATTGATTTGCAAAATTGTTTCAAATTACGACTAGATAAACCGTTTCAAATGGAAACTAGATAGGTAGAGTTGAGATCGTATTGATTTGCAAAATTGTTTCACATGGCTACTAGATATACCATCTGGAAACGCAATTAGATAATATGGAGATCATATTGATTTACAAAATTGATTCAAACCACTACCAGATAAAACGTTTCGAAACTCAACTATAGTCTGTTCCAATCTTTTTTGTTTGGTTGAATTTCTAAAGCAATCACTAAATAAATGGAATAAACAACACTTTCACGTATATTTCGAACATTTTGACATGATATCTCGTCGCTTTTTTCAATATTAATAATAATATTCATTTGAATGAAATCGTATTTGAAATGTAGTCAATAAGTGAAGTTATTTTGTTAATTAATGATGTATGAATAGTCTATAGTTGCATAGTGAAAAAAACATTCAGTTCATTCAATTAAAGTTTTTGCAATCGATTAGTAAATCGAAAATTTCAATTGCAATGGAAAGTGTATCTAAGTGTAAGGATTTGAAGAAGGATTTAAAATTAAGATTTCGGAAATATTAAATATGCTTTTATATATGTAAAGAAAACCGCTAGTATGACTTAATTAAACAAATCGTTTCATTCAATTAATTAATCGATTTGTAGTTGGCAATAAAATTGGCCATCACTAAACCGTCTATGGTCGGATCAATGACTTGTTTGTTTACTTTTTGTTTAAAATGGATTGAAACAATGTATAGATAATAAGGTTTGTTTGTTGGTTTTATTGATTTGCAAAAATACGTTTAATCATAGAAAAGTAATAGAATCTTAATTATTTTTTAAATGTTTCAAGTCACTTTTCATTGCAGGTGGCAAAGCAAATCCTGGACAAGTACGGCAGCCCAGACGACCAGTCGAAAGCACTGAAGCCTTTCATTCCCTCGCTTAATGTTCCCGGTAAAACTAGCACGCCCCAAGGTAGTTCTCCTTGTAAATATATTAGTTATATCCCTTATGTTGTTGGTGAGAAGACTAAAATTAGATTAAGTTTATTTAGCCATGTCGATTCTGTGATTTCATAAACTTAACAGATGTCTTGAAGATTTTGTTGTCACTTTTTAACTTATGGAAAGCTAAATTTAGCGGTAGGTTGCTTTTTAATAAACAAGTCCAGGTTTTCAATCCTTGTGGTGACGTGTACCTTATTAATTTCTAATTGGCGTACCTTTGTGACTAATTAATAACAATAATAACGCACACACTCAACATAACCCGCACTAGGGAGACTCTATGTCGCGGGTTTTGGACATACATAGACAACCACAAATTACACCCAAATTCACGAGATAAATAAATGTAGGCCATACAAATATTTCTACCGGCCCGGGGATCGAACCTGGGACATCTGCGTGGCAGTCCGGCATGGTAACCGTTCGGCTACGGAGGCAGTTAAATTAGCAATGTCGAAGGAAAGCAGCGCGGTGAAAACTCTACGTCGAATAAAGTTCACAAGCCTTGTATAACGTGTGACTTCTGCAACTTTAAGGGTCGTATTCCAGAACTCTACTCAATAGTCAAGTCAGGACTTGAGTATTGCAGTGAGCACTGAAAATCATACTCAAATCCTTGCCATTAGGCCCGTATTTCCAGTGCTTGACATTATACTCAAGTCTGCTCAAGTCCTGACTTGAGCATTGAGTACAGTTCTGGAATACGACCCTAAGAGTTTAATTTCAATTTTTTCTGTACTGAATCGGTTCTATTGCGTTGACACTGGATTTATTTTTACAACCGAAATTAAAGCCATTACAAAAATGATATCGTATACTATACGTGTTCTATTTACTTCAGTTGATATTAAGAAATATCATTGGTATATGTAAAGTACCTATAGAATGCAGCGGTTTTCTTGTAAAATTTCGAGGTAAGTTTGTGTTGTTTTTGTATCGTGAAAATTTTTACAAATCGTGTTTTCACACCGTGTACTAATCAGTGTATATCCTCAATTATGCTATATAATTTTTTCCCAAGTGATTACTTCAACATTTATGCGGAATCAACCACAGCCAGTTAAGGTTGTATAGACTCTTAAAGGGGGCCCGAGCTGCGGGACGTAAAATGGGTTGATGATGATGAAATATTTGTAATTATATAATCACAGAATTGACACTTTAGATTAGTTAGAAAATAGAAGATTTTGTACTAATAAAATGACGTAGAATAATTTTTATAATTAATATTAATAATGATTTTAGAATTGAAATTGTGAGCGTAATTAACATCGTGTTAGTTAATCATAAAGAATAGTCATTTACTATAAAGATCTTATTAGTTTACTATGCTAAATTAGTCCCAAATTCTAGAAATCATCTTAACAAATTTGACACGAAACATCACAATGTAAAAATTGCCCCAGTTTATGTGTGATAAACTTACCCCCAAAAGTAAAACTATTTACCAAACTCGCCCCAAATTTAAGGATTAAAAAGAAATATAAAAGACACACGTTTTACACGAACTTATAGTAATATTCCAAACTTGCCCCAAATTCCAAACTCACCCCAAGTCCCCAATAAAACTTATTAAATTACAGCAACTCCAGGTCAACTGCGACAACGGCAATTGATGACGTCCACACCAATAAACAACATGCACACTAATATGAATTTGGTACCAGTTGACACCCCGGCTGGCTTTAGAGGACCATTATTGAGGGTAAGTTCTCTTTCCCCACTCGCCCCATCATTTATGTTAACTGCATAATTTATTTCTCTCGACAAGAACGTCTGTATCAAATTAGCTTTATTTTATATCTTTTAATTATGCTATGTAAGAAACCGTGGTAGGTTACGGGTTTAACCTATCGCCTGTCAAGCAGAGGCCGTGGATTCTAATCCGGGCTCGCACCTCTGAGTTTTCGGAATTTACGTGCAAAATTTAATTTGAAATTGACCACGAGAAGAAGGTATACAACATTCGGAAAACCTATTAAGTCTCCAACCCGCATTGGGCCAGCGTGGTGGACTATGGTCTTAGCCCTCACCTGTGAGGAGGCCCATGCTCAGCGGTGGGACGTATAAATGAGTTGATGAAGATAATGACCACATTGCAGGAAAATAAGGTTTTTTCAAATTATGAAAGATGATAATGATATTGAAAACCCAGAAACGTAGTGTAGGTAATTATAACATTTTACAGTCAGAACAACTCCCTCGGCCGCTTCTAGACAGGAACCGCTCTGCATTAGACAAAGTGGTCGATTACCTATTAAAGGACGGCCCCAACCAGCGCATGGCACTAATTTGCACCGAGTGCAGCTCGCACAATGGTAAGTTAGAATGGCATTGAAAATTAAACTATTCTTTCCGATCTTACAAAAGAAGTCCATGCAAAAACCCATTGAAATAAAAAATATCCTATTTTTTAACAGGGAAGATAATTTGGGATCCAATATTTCCTCTGATGAAAAATCCCAAGCAGAGGTGTACTAATTTGTTTTAATTTCCTTTTAATAAAGTTAAAAGGAAATTAAAATTACATAAAATTTCATAATAAATTAAATTAGTAGTTAGTTTTTGAAGAAAGAGATTGGATCTGCTTCGGAAAAAAGTCCTTATTAATTTAATAACTTTTAACTACAGTTTAGACATAACTGGTTGATGACTAATACCATCTCGGTCAGCCGTTACCACAGGACCTGCAAAGGGCTCGAAACGTTTGTTTACTTGGAAAAAAAACAAAAACTCCGTAAAATTTTTCTGTTCTACTTAAGTCTACTATCTGTATAGCGCTAAAGAATCTAATTAACAAAATTCACAAATCTGTTTTCCAGGTATGGCGCTAATGGAAGAATGGGAATACGTGTCATACCGCTGCGCGTACTGCGGCAAGTTCCACCCCGCACGTAAGCAACGCCCCGCCGCGCCACTGCTTTCCACACCCGCGCGTGCCTTACCTGCACCTAGAGCTATTACTCTTGGTAAGTTTCTTACACCTACTTTGACTTCAGACTTGCCCGTTCTTTGGTATCAAACTAACGAAATTGCCCCTGCATTGATATCAGACTTGCTCCTACCCTTTAGTGAGACTTGCCCCTAATTTCAGAAAATCAGGTTTTCCCACACACAGTGTGAGAATTGCCCTTCTTTTGATGTCAGACTTGCGCCTACTTTCAGAACATCAGGTTTTCCTATATACAGTGTAAAGATTGCTCTTCTTCTGATGTCAGACTTGTCCCTGAGTTGATGTTAGACTTGCTCCTACCCTGTAGTGAGACTTGCCCTTGCACTGTAGTTAGACTTGACCTTACTTAAAGAAAATCAGTTTTTCCTATATACAGGATGAGAATTTCTCTGCTTTTGATGTCAGACTTGATGCTATTTTTATGTCAGACTTACCCCTAGGTATATTGTTGTCAGACTTACCCCTACTTTCAAATTAAATTTGTCTCTACGTTGGTGTCAGAATTGCCCCTGCATTGATTCCGCCCTTTTTTGAAGACAAACTTGCCCTTGCGTTGCATTCAGGTTTGCCCCTATTTTGAAATCAGATTTGCCCATGATTTTGATGCCAGACTTACCCAAATAATGCTTTGATAAATTGCTCCAATATTGTTCTGAAAAATGCTAAATTCGTTTCGCAACCTTACATTTAAATCTAAAATGATGAAAATGAAATTGTCTTTATTGCCGTTCACAAAGAAAACATATTCTAATATAAACCTATAGTTCTCACATGTTACTGAAGATACTTTCGTTTGTGAAAGCCTGGTGTCCATGCTTGGATGAACCTGTGTTAAACAGCACCAGGCTCTCGCCCTTCCACCTCTAGAGCAGACATAAGAAAGATAGACAAAAATGTATGATAAGGCAAAGATATAGTAATAATAATAATGTTAATTTATTCACGAAAAACCAACAGCTTCAACCCTTTAATAAAAACAGGAAATGAAACATGAAGTCAGTTACAGGTTTCCACCTATACCTTCAGACAAATCAAACAAAAGCATTAAACAAACGAACAATAAACAGTATTTGTTAACAACATTAAATATAACAACCTGCGCCAACAGTCACAAATTATTCAATAAAATTATATAGAATATCCGTGAGTTTACGCTTTAACACATCAACATTGAATATATCAACATCCAGGTTATGATTGCTCACCATACGATACGTATTCGTTCCAAATCTGAGACTATACAAATCAAGAAAACTCTGACCTGTTGAATATCTAGTCATTTGCATTCTCTATAGTTTTATATCTGTGGTAACACAATATTCTGTAAAGTAAGTAAGTTATAGAAAATCCAAATTTTTATTTTAAAGAAGACAAACCTGAACACAGGGTCGTTTCAGAACCTTACGATAATTCAGTTGTTTATTTATTTATTTATTTATTTATAAGAAGAACACAAACAGTTACATATTAAACAAGAAAAATATAACAAACATTGATAAGAATAAATAACTAAATATGAACCAACAACATGTTCCACAAATGATTAACAAATTATTCTATCGCGTGACACATGCGCGTGTTAGAAAATCCCAAAATGATTACTAAAGTACTAAACTCTATTATATAGGGAAGTCAATTATCTAAAGAATTCAAAAGCAGAATTTTAGTAAACCAAGTTTTATTTTAATATAGGGTAAAACAAAATATCAATGAACAGTATAACAGTAAACCTAAGCAATTAAAACCAGAATCACTACCAGAAACATAATTCAGTTTTAATCAATTAT